TATTCCCAAAATGGCCAAATGTTTAGGCGACCAAAGAGAAATTCTTTAAGGGGCTTTAAGGGGGGAGACAGAGGGAGTTTCCTACCAAAGGGATCCCCCCCATCAGTTATCAAAAAGATTTCCTCAACCAGAAAACACCATCAAGCTAGCGGGGAAATGGAAAGGGAGGTATACAAAAGTGATTGGGAAAGCAAAGGACTGAATCCAAGAATACTCTATCCAGCAAGACTATCAATCAAAATTAAAGGGGAAATCAGGAGCTTCACAGACAAAAAAAAGGCTAAGGGAATTTATCACTACCAAGCCAGCAATACAACAACTGCTAAAGGGAATGCAGCAAAAAGAAGAAATAAAATGGTAAGCAGGAACACAGGCACACAAAAATAAAAATGGCTACAAACAAGTACCTATCAATAATAACTTTAAATGCAAACGGACTAAATGCTTCAATCAAAATACATCGAGTGGCTGAATGGATAGAAAAACACGACCATATATATGCTGTCTACAAGAGATCCACCTCAGAACAAGGGACTCACATAGTCTGAAAGTGAAGAATTAGAAAAATATCTTTCAGGCAAATGGAAATGAAAAAAAAAAAGCTGGGGTAGCAATACTTATATCTGTCAAAATAGACCTCAAATTGAAGGCCATAACAAGAGATAAGAAGGCCACTTCATAATACTAAAGGGATTGATACAACAAGAGGATATAACCCTGATAAACATATATGCACCCAACGCAAGAGCACCTAAACACATAAAAAAAAAAATCCTGGAAGATATGAAGGGAGAGATAGACAACAATACAATCATAGTAGGGGACTTTAATACACCACTGACATCACTGGATAAATCCTCTAAAACAGTGGTTCTCAACCTTCTGGCCCTTTAAATACAGTTCCTCATGTTGTGACCCAACCATAAAATGATTTTCATTGCTACTTCATAACTGTAATGTTGCTAATGTTATGAATCGTAATGTAAATATCTGATATGCAGGATGGTCTTAGGCAAACCCTGTGAAAGGGTTGTTCGACAGAAAAAGGGGTCGCGACCCACAGGTTGAGAACCTCAGCTCTAGACAAGAAATTCAGCAAAGAAATAGCAATCCTAAATGACTCACTAGATCAGATGGACTTAATTGACATCTTCAGAACATTTCACCCCAAAGCCAAGGAATATACATTTTTCTCAAGTGCACATGGGACATTTTCAAAAATAGACCACATATTGGGTCACAAGCAAAGTCTCTCTAAATTCAAGAAGATTGAAATCATACCAAGCATCTTCTCAGACCACAATGGCATAATATTAGAAATAAATACAACAAAAACAATCCAAAAAACTCAAACACTTGGAACCTGAAAAGCATGCTATTAAACAATGACTGGGTTACAAATGAGATCAAAGAAGAAATTAAAAACATTCTGGAAACTAATGACAATAAAAACACAACAATCCAAAATCTATGGGACACAAGGAAAGCAGTCCTGAGAGGGAAGTTTATAGCTTTACAGGCCTACCACAAAAAAAAAAAAAAAACACAATAAAAAATGGTAGTGAATCATCTAACTCAACATCTCAAAGAATTAGAAAGAGAGCAACAAGAAAAGCCCAGAGTGAGCAGAAGGAAGGAGATAATAAAGATCAGAGCAGAAATAAATGACATAGAGACCCCCCCCCAAAAAAAAAAATTACAAAAGCTCAATGAAACCAAGATCTGGTTCTTTGAAAGGATAAACAAGATTGACAAACCTCTAGCCAGGCTCACCAAGAAGCAAAGAGAGAGGATCCAAATAAACAAAATCAGAAATGAAAGAGGTGAAATAACAACAGACTCCACAGAAATACAAAGGATTATTAAAAATATTATGAACAACTCTATTCCAACAAACTAGACAACCTGGAGGAAATGGACATATTCCTAGAAAAGTACAACCTTCCAAAACTCAATCAGGAAGATTCTGAAAATCTCTATAGGCTGATAACTATGGAAGAAATTGAAGCAGTCATCAAAAAGCTCCCAGCAAACAAAAGCCCGGGGCCAGACGGCTTCACAGGGGAGTTTTACCAAACATTCAAGGAAGAACTAAAAACCTATCCTCCTCCAACTATTCCAAAAAATTCAAGAGGAAGAAACACTTCTAAGCTCATTCTATGAAGCCAGCATCACCCTAATACCAAAACCAGATAAAGATAACACAATGAAAGAGAATTACAGGCCAAT